TCGCAACGCATTACGCATTTTAGAATACTGCTCTTGAGTACAACGAGTATTATATGGGGCAGATGATCGAGTTGCTCACTAGGTATGGTAAAGTTTCTTGCTTTATGCTTCGTTTGTGGATTTATGATGTGGGTTCTGTTTACGTTTGAAGTAATTTGAAATTTTGTTGATTTATTATTATTATTATTATTATTATTATTATTATTATTATTATTATTTATTTATTTATTATTATTATTATTATTATTTTGTATGCTGTTGGAATTGTATTGTTTGGGAACTTTGTCTTATGGATTAGGAATTGATTTTGTGGGTTGATGTACTGGTTAAATTTGGAAGGGCGTCTGATGTTTGGGCAATCGTGGAAATAATTGTTAGTTTCAGTTCTGGTGAAGCAATTGATTCATATATGTTAGTTTTGTTTGATTAACCGTGTTTAAGGAAAGATTTTTTTCTGGAAATAATTGCTAATTGGACTTGGTGAGGCAATTGAAGGCGTGAGTTGGGCACTAACTAATTCACGAGAGTTTCACAATTAGGAGTGCATTCTGTGTAATTATGTGAAGATGAGATGGTGATGGTCTTTATGACAAAGTTGTTTACCGTTCAATTAGTACTTTTGGGTGGCACGGCATGAATACCACACAACATTTTCGTTCTACGAGGATGAAACTGGGTCTAACAAGCTTGATTGATAATTTGGGATTACTGAAAGAAAATTGTGAGTTTAGATAGTTCATTCTGCCCCAAAATGAAGTTTGTACCAGCTTATTACACTTTTGCAGCAGCTGGACATTATATCAAGCACATAATGGGCATGTTTGGAAAGAACCAAATGGGGCATAATGTTCCATCCAGACTGACATGAAAAGATGATAAATAGGAAGAAGCTTAACTCTTGATCGATTGTGAACATTACATGAGAGAAGAGAATGAATTACGAAGAGATTGCTTCTGAGACAATATCAGAACAACTTGAAGCATGGAGAATGTATTTGAAGGAAGATGTACAAGTAGCAAATTTGTTTGGTTGATACAAATGAAATAGACTCAGTGTTCTTTCAGAAGTTTATTAGTTGTTTACATGAGTGCAATGTACCTCATTTTTTTGCTGATTACTTTTAGGGCAAGGAATATGTTAATTCTCCAAAGGAAAGAGTTAGCTTTGTATATACTTGTTAGTAGGAAATTTGATTATGACTAACCTTTAGGCACGAGATTTTTCTCTTTAGCATTGATGGAGCTTTCGTTTGCTAACATCGGGAATTCCCTCTTTGCTAAGAAATGTTGATTAATAGTAAGAGATAATTATTTAAGCGCTCTTGAAGGCAGAGAGACAAAACCTAAATCAATCTCAAAGTTTGGGCAAAACTTTCTGCTAGTGCTAGCATTTAGTCGTCAATTGTTGTTTTGTGTGTTAGGTATAGAGGAATATTGGTTATATAAATATAATCATATACGAAATATATGATGAGATATTATGAGAGAAGTACTTTAAGCATGAATATGAATGAGAATCTACGACATTTCTTTGAACTTTTCCTATGATATTAAATTCATTTGTGTTTATTCTTATCCAATGTACACAGAAAGCATATATTTAGAATTGAAGTAGAAAAATGGCTTCAGTGCCTAAGAAAAATAAAAGACGAAGAGAAGTGTGCATTGGCAGTACTAAATTGGATATCAATGTACTACTGATGCCCAAGAGAAAATTTCAATGTTTTGTTCAATTGGANAAATAAAAGACGAAGAGAAGTGTGCATTGACAGTACTAAATTGGATATCAATGTACTACTGATGCCCAAGAGAAAATTTCAATGTTTTGTTCAATTGGAAGGTATATATATCTAACGATGAGAAAAGATATTAGCAATGACATTTTTAAAGATATTATTTTCGCCTTCTCTTGTAACTTGCTTCAGTTTCTCCTTTTATGTATATACCTTTTTTATTTCAATAACTAAACGTATAAACTATTGCGTTTGACTACTACATATTTGCTTATTCAATATATTGCTATAGTATGGCACGTAATATCTCTAATGTAAGTACCCGTAAACACATTTCGTATAATCCAATGTAATCATCATTCTTTCAAACATGTTTCATAATTCATTGAAATACCTCATAGTCAAATGTCAACATTATTACTTACACTGCATCGCCCACTACACGTGTAACTCACGTGCATCCGCTAGTACTAAATAGAATAATTTTTCTTCTATTTGGTGCTCTAAGTTGGTACGAGGTAATGGTTCAATTATATCCAATTTAGCGATTGAAA